TATGTACATATTTACATATGATTTCTGTAAACGTATCAAATGTACGAGTATTTTCCAAAAGTGCTTAATACACTATTATTGCGTATCATACATAAACTATTGTCACGAATAAACTAGAATCCTATGCTGTACTAAATCCTTAATAATTTAACATAAATAAATAAGTAAATAATCGATAAAAATATTTTTTTTTATCTTTTTTTATAAGAAATATGAAATATTTTTTTCAATCAAAATTTAAACATAATCGAAAATTTGTTTGAATGATTTATTTATCGATAAGCAATCTTTAAATTGCGAATTTTTATGCAAATACGTTAAATATGTTTCGTGCATTTGAAAATGAATATTATAAATGAAGTAATAATGAATACAGAATGTTCAAAAAACATAAAAAATTATTCTTTGATATAATCTTCAAAATAAAGCAAAAATTGGAAATTAAAAAATTGTGTTTTAGTTTTTAAGAATTAAAAATCGATTGAAATATTTCTAAGTACTAAATCTTCCTTTAAGAATGTAGGGCAACTCAAACAATGAAAAACACAGCGATCCTCAATTTCACGAAAACACAAATTTACACAGATATAACTTATTCTAAGTTTTCGATATCATAATCTTGTTCTCTATAACTTTTAAGACTATTGTAATCACGCAAAATAACTAATGAAACTTAAATTTTTCACGAAAAAAAGAGAAGAAATAAAAAATTTCATCCTCAAAATCTACCCAAGAAATACAAGAAATTTATCAATGAAATTACTTTTTGTTTCATTCCAATAACTCAATTGGTTACCGAGATATAAAGATTCAAAGTGTCCATAACGCTCAAGACAGTGCGGAAGTTATGAATGGACCCACTGACTTATATTTTTTTTCCTTATATTACGTACTTCACATTTAAGAATTGTGTCTGTCATTTGTCTGGGCCTTGGGATTGGTCAGTGACCAGGTGCAAACGAGAGGGCGTCAAATCAGTGACGAGAACGGAGATAGTAAACGATTAAAAATTATCCTTTTTTTTACACGATGATATCTCGGGAACCGGAAGTCGTATCGAGATAAAAAAAAATGCGTTTTAAAGGAGAAGGTTCTGCGCTTCCAATGATCATTCACTCGTTGACTGGATGTTATTATGTTCGAAGTTATAGCGGTTCAAAGTTTTTGCTAATTTTAATAAGCAGTTTGATCAGATTTAGGTTAAGAATTACTGTTTTCTTTAGAAGATGATATCTCGGGAACCAGAAGTCATATCAATATAAATGAAAATGTATTTTAAAGAATAAGATTCCACGCTTCTAACTGGATCTCATTCGTTGAAAAGAAGTTATCTTTGGAGTTATAGCATTTCACAGTTTTTCCTAATTTTAACAGTTTAATCGAATTTTAAGATAAATTATGAGATGAATGTAATTATCTGTGGAAAAATATTGCTTGTAACGATTTTGTTAATGGTATGTTGAAGCAAATTAGATTATTTATTTCATTTCATCGATTCCAACTTAATTATGTTGAAGAATTATGAGTTCTGTAATAAAAGATCTTCAAATTGTAATGTTCTTTCTAGTCTATTATTGACTTTGAAGATTATTATATTCTTTGAGTTGTCCTACATTTGTTCTTGAAGAAAAGTTTTGTTTGTCTATAGATATTATATTCTTATCAACTTTTAATTGTCAATAACTAAAAAAGTAGTTTTTTTGAATTTTTAATAATACTTACAGCTGAACATCCTGTATTTACTTATCATTTATTTAATCAAATTAATTAAAAATCAATATATCTGAACAAAAATTATTCATTGTTCTAAATAATAAACAAATTAATGTTCTTTTGTAATTCTTTCTAATCTAATTATTGAATTTGAAGATTATTGTATTCTTTGAGCTGTCCTACATTTGTTCTTGAAGAAAAGTTTTGTTTGCTTATAGATATTATATTCTTATCAACTTTTAATTGTCAATAATTAAAAATGTAGTTTTTTTGAATTTTTAATAATACCTACAGCTGAACATCCTGTATTTATTTATCACTTATTTAATCAAATTAGTTAAAAATCAATATATCTGAACAAAAATTATTCATTAAGTAATAAACAAATTAATGTTCTTTTGTAATTCTTTTTAATCTGTTATTGACTTTGAAGATTATTGTTATTTCTTTGAGCTGTCCTACATTTGTTCCTGAAAAAAAAATTTGTTAGCCTATAAATATTATATTTTTATCTTTTAATTATCTAACTTTTAATTATCAATAACTAAAAAAGTAGTTTTTTTTTTAATTTTTAAACATTTATTTATTTATTTTGAACAGTCTGTATTTACTTATTACTTATTTAATTAAAAATCAATATATCTGAATAAAAATTATTCATTGCTCAAATAATAAACAAATATCAAAATTATATTTTATATAATAATACATGAAAATTAAACATTTATATTACACAAATTATTAACGTAAAATAAAAACGCACATTCAAATTTTAAATGAATCGAACGAAGGAAATCTCGATACAATCTTCCAAAGTTTTGGAAGAATGCCGAAGCTCTAAAGCCAATTACCAAAACCGCTGGAAAAGTAGTTCCATTAATAAATGGTTTCATTTATTAAGCAAGCTTCCTTCAAGCATCGTATGCATTCGAACGTGATGAATCACGCATCAAGAGTAGCGTCTTTCATTCAATATTTATTCACATTTTAGACACAACGTAGATTATGATTTAAAATTATCGGCACTCACGTAGAGTTGTATGATCTTTTTGATGATGGCAATGACTACCAGTGATACGCAACAGGTTTATGGAGAGAGATATCCTCTTGTCAGAAGTGACGAGAATCATCTGGTCTGCTTAAACTCTAATAATATGAACGAAGTGAAAATGGATTCGCAAGAAATCACGAGCAACGCGGCCGAATCTCCCTCGAACCGCGAATTGAATGTGGTAAGCTATAATTTCACAAATCATCGTTTAAAGGTTTGTCGAAATCCTTTAAATCCATCACGGTTGATAGCAGATATATTTCCGATAAATCCAATAAATTCTTCTGTTTTTCTGTCATCAATAAAATTGTTAAATTAATACATATTCCTTTTTCTTTTTAGTTTTCATCATTTTATACTTATTCTTTTTCTAAAATATTTTATTAAAAGAAAAAATTTTCAAAGGTTATATTAAATTTATTATGATTTAATAAATAATTAATAATTTTTGTCAAAAATAGTATTTCGTCATTGGAAAAATTTAATTGAAATATAATATACAAAATATATATACATATAAAGTATTTAATTATTTCAATATATTTAAAATATATTTGTCATTAAAAATAATCGTTATATTATACAAAAGTATTCTTCATTAAACATTTTAAAAGAAATTCAATATCTTAATTTCTTATCAAAAATCTGTAATATATTTTCAAAATTAAAATAAAATACTCGCTATTTTATCTATTTATATTTATACATATTATTTTCATTCGAAATTATACCAAAAAAATATTCTTCATTAAACATTGACAAAATTAAAATAAAATACTCGTTATTTTATCTATTTATATTTATACATATTATTTTCTTTCGAATCTTTATTTATTCATCTATTTATTTTTCACAACTTTGGTGGCGAAAATACGAATTAATATAAACGTCCAATGGTGATCTATTCACCCCTGCACGAGAGATCGAGTTTGTCCCACGTTTTATTATCACGAAAAAAAAAAAAAGAAAAAAGAAATCTCGTGCACTCGCTCATGCAAACAGTCTCTATATAAATTTCCCCTAATGTTTTCACTGAGAATGAGAATATTCGACGAAGGAAACGAGGAGGGTAAACAGCCGAAGCTGTTCCTGAACGGATGGTTGGCGCTACTGCTTTAGGTCACGCCAATCTAAAATACCTCGATGGATCGCGATGGATGTCGATGGTATACTATAATCATTCGTGGTATAATCCCATAAAGGGAGGGAAAGCCGGTACGTGGCAGGTACGATAAATATATACCGAATCTTCGAAACGTCACCGTTTTGTATTATGGGCTCTGATCGATGTTCTCAGGGCCAATATCGACTTATCAGAATTTGAGAGAACCAGTAGCAGGTTCCAACTTTCCATTCGGTCTTCTTTTTTTTTTTTTCTTCTGTTTGAATTGATCGTCGATACGGTGGTACGAGTAAAAATATTAAATTATCGTCGAAAATTATTATTCGGCAGAAAGGGAATATTGGAATTGTAGAGGAGAATTGTAGAGAATTGATTGTAAATTTTAATTAAGCGACGAACGAATTGTTCGAACGATCGATTCGAGATAAGAATATTTCCGATCGAAGTTATTGAAAAATATTTTTAATGGAGGTATTAATTAATGCATTGAAAATAGAAGATTATACATGGAAAATTGACAAGAAATTGTTGGATGAAAGATTTTTTTGAGTAATAAGAATATGAAAATTATTGAAAAATATAATAGAATTGTGGAAAATTAAAAATTAATAATAAAATAGTGAAAAATTATTGGATTGACGAAATTATTGAATTAAAAATTAGAAATAAAAAATAGGATTATAGAAAATTAATTATAAATTTTAAAATTTAATTATTTGAATGATCAGAATGATGTTCCTTTACATTATAAATCAACAAATTTCTTAAATACATATGTATTAGATTTTTTCTTTTCTATTTAAATTAACTTTATTTCAAGTCGTTTAAATTAAATAGAAATCAATTAAAGGAATGTTATTTATTTTAATAATATATAGATAACGTATGAAGATTTGTATATCTATTAAATTAAATTTTGCCATTCTTATAATATATCGTTATCATGTAATACATATCGAATTTTCACCAGACAATAAAAATATTTAATATATTATAAAATATTTAATCCACGTGATCCTGCATCGAATAATCCTCCAACTTCTATCAAATATCTAATCGTGACGATAATTTCGCCGATCGCGGATATTCGTGATCAAAATTATTATTCCGTAGGTAAAGCCAAATCCGCCATTACCGACCGTCTATCGGGCGAGACCGCAAGGTCCACCTGGATTACCAAGGCACCCTGTAAATAATGGTCCCATAGGACAGCCACGACCGGGCCACGGACAGCCTCAAATCCGTTTCGACAATCGATCCCCAACAGGGCCGAACAATCCCGGTCAGTTCGTACAGCTGAGACCGTACGGCCCTCCAAGGCCACCCGTAGCTCCTTATCCTCAGAAGCCGGTTCAAGGTCAACATCCGCCCAACATCGTACCGAGCCCACGTTTCCCACAAGCATCGCAATTGCAACGCAGTCCAGGCCCGCCAAGACCACCACCTCCCCATCCTGGAAATTATCGAGCGCAAAAATTCCAGGGCAACCTGCAACGACCTCAACAACCGAGACCGGAATATCCCCAGCAACGAAACCAGGACTCGCAACTGGCCGTCGCGAGATCGCGGTGTGAAATCGTGCAGAGACAGTTGCAACGAAATGAGTCGTTGTTGAACATAGGCTTCCAACAGAACTTGGAACAGGGGAGGGAAGAGAGGAAACAACAACAGGTGGCGCGCGTAATAGTCGACAAAATGGCGGACGTGGACAACTCGAAGAAGTTGCAACAGTTCGAGACCGCTGTTTCGAAGGAGAAGGGCGAATTGAGGGAGAATGAGAACGACGACGACGACGACGTTGTGATGGATGGGAGGTCGCCTCGTGCTAACGGGGATGTTTCTGGCCGAGACGATTTGATCGAGCCCAAATTGTTGAAGAGCGATGTTCAGGCGGCGAAGAGGCCGGAAACTGCGACGATGAACGGGAAAATGGCCTCGGACAAACCGGACGTGGTTGGTCTGAGCGAGAAACCTATTAAAGATTCGAACGTGACCGAAAGTGACAACAGATTGTCCGCGAAATTGGACGAAGAAACGCATAAAAGATCGCTGGATAAAGAGGACGTTGATAATCAGATGGATGAACCGGAAAGGAAGTTGCTGAAAGATCAAAACGAGAAGGAGAACTCGAATAAGGAAAATGACGCGAAACAGATCGATGTGAATTCTTCGTCTGCTCCAATCGATAAGGATCGAATCGAAAAAGAGAATTCGATTAAGAAGAGTGACACGAAATTGACGACCCAGGTTGATGTGAATTCTTCGTTCGCACTGGACGTCAAAGATCAGATCGAAAAAGAGAATTTAAAGAAGGAAAGTGGCACGAAAATGACGATACAAGCTGATATGCATTCTTCGTCCCTTTCATTTATCAAAGATCAAATCGAGAAAGAGAATTCGAATAAGAAGGATGACGCGAAAACGACGACACAGATTGACGCGAATTCTTTGTCCATCCCATCTGTCGAAGAAAATTCAAATAAGGAAATTAAAGACGCGAAACAAGCTGATATGCGTTCCATTCCAACTGTCGTGAAAGACAAAGTTAGTGCACCTACCGAAAAATCTGAAGAAAAGAAGTTGGAGCAGAGTTTAAACGCGATTTTACCGTCTCCAGAAAAATCGCGCACACCGACGAAACCAGGCGAGGATGGCAGTGAACAGATGCAAGCTTTAAGCCCCAAGTCAAGCCCTGACAAATCTCCAATGAAAGAGGAATTGAAGACGTCTTCCGATAAATCAAGTAATATACCTGTGGAAGTAAGTCAAAACGAGCGAGAAACGAAAAAACAGATGGAACAATCGAGAGAAGATGCACCGAATAAATCGACGAGAGTACAGAGCGGAGAAGAACTGAAGACGCCACGAAGCGATTCGCGCGCAGCTACGCCAAAGAACGAAGAAACGAAAGAAGATCGAAAAGAGATAGAGAAGGAGCGAGAGGGCAAGGAAAAAATCGATTCGAAACCAGAAATTAAATCGGAAGTGAAATCAGAAGATGCATCGAAGGGACAGGATAAAGATGAAGAGGAATTGAAAGTATCCAAGGACACGTCGATGGAAACGAGTCAGGACAAGGAAGAGGCAGAAACTAAAGAAGTGCCTAAGTCTTCGGGGAAATCGTTGGATCCTGATCATTCTCCGAAGGAGAAAGAATCGAGCGATCCATCTGCGAATTTGATTGAAGAAAATGTCTTGAAAAATTCTCATCCTGATAAACTCGAAGAATCTTTGGAACAGAAAAGTGTTACTGCGAGTCGTCCTGCTTCTGGAAAGGAAGCAAGCGAGACGAAACCTCCAGTATTATCAGAGGATCGAGAGAGGGTTGCGGAATCAGCAGAATTGTCGCCTCCAATGTCCCCGGAGGAAGGTACGAAGGGTTTCGACAATGGGCAGCAGAGGTCGTTGTCGATAAAATCTTCGCCGAGTCAAAGTCTTCAGTCGCCTGTCTCTCCAAAATCACCGAAATCACCCAAGTCTCCGAAATCGCCCAAATCGCCTACCGACGACAAGAAAGTGACGGAAGGAAAGGTGAAAACTGAGGAGGAAAAGGATGAGGATAAAACGACACCTGAAACGAAAAGTTTGTCGAAATCGGCCACGCCTAAACACGCGCCTACGTCTGATAAACAAGATAAGAAATCGAGAAAGAAGTCTTCTACGACACCAGGTTTTTATCCCTTTGACACGTTTGCAACTAGACTGAAAATTAAAAATTATTTGTTACGTTACATACAGTGAATCATAAAAGTCTTTGTATATTCGCCTAACCTCAAAATTCTAATTTTAATGAAAGTTTGCATGTTTATAAAGCATTATAGAGGGTGTTGATATATATTTGTGGTAATATGTTTGAAGATCGATTCTAGAGACCAAAATAAATATGAAAGTTGGTATATAAAAATATTGGCTGACACTTATTTTATTAAGTTACGAGCAATTTAAGTTTAGCGTTAGATGGAGCAAGACGTAAAGTAGAATGAAACGACGGTGTGATGGAGATAGATAATTCTAAGCTAATTTTCTGTCTTGCTTCATCTGGATATTTAAATTGTACACTTTTGGACTTATTTTCACTTTTAAAAGATATTTTCACGAATATAATAGATGATAAGAATGATAGATGATAAGGAAAGGATCTTATATATAGAAAAATTCTTTTTAAATACGAAGAGTGTCTTTAAAGGAATGATTAAAGTTGCAGCATTTTTTCATATTTTGAATAGAATTTTGCCTTGAGATATTTTTTATAATAGGATGGTAGAGTATTAAAATTTATTTCCATATTTAAAATTTTGCTCTATTTTATATTATTACGAAGTTATATTTAAAAGAAACGACTTCTTTAAAAAAAGAATTGATTTTATTCCTTCGAAATGATATTAATTGTTAAAAAAATATTGTTCCATATGCATATGTACAATCTATTATAATGCAATTTATAGTATAAAACTTTCATTAAAAATTGAATTTTCATTGCTTTGATAACGCATGTTAATTGAATTGGCAAAAAATGTACAAAAGTTCTTCTAGTTAAAGAAGATTGTCAAAGATTCTTTTAGTTTCAAATTTTTAAAGAATATATTTACAATCGATTATACAAAATCATATGTAATATATCTCGATGAAAAATAATTCTTTTTGTAAAAACCTTTGCATAGACTAAAAATATATGAAATATATGAAAAAAATTGATATGTTCTTCATTAAGAGTGCAATTTATTTTTCTTTAAAAAGATATTCGATGTTCTGAATGAATTATTGAATTATTGAATTAATGAATTATTATTTCAATTACTTCTGACATTTTCACAAGTTCATACAAATAAAAATCAATTTTGAATTGATTTTTTATAAATTTATATTTTCATGCAAATATCATAAAAAATATGTTATGAAGCATATGCATATTGAACATTAAAAATTCTAATAAATATGTTTGAAAAATACAAAAAATCATAATATATTTCACTTTATACCAAAAAATGATTCAATTGTATCATCAAAAAATAGAAAAGATTGAATTCACTACTTATTAAATAAAAATATATAAATTTTAAATCTGCATTAAACATCTTTTAAACGAATTACATACGAATTATATATAGGAATCTTTCTATAAAAAAAATTAATATTACAAAAATTGTATTCATTATTACAAAAGCATTAGAATATATCTTTAAATTTGTATTACTAGGTGCAAACGTGTTAGATAGATTTCAAGAGAAAATAAAAATTAAAAATGAACGTATTAAAAAAATATAGCAACATACGAGAAAATAAATTTGAAAAATCGAAAACTGAAATTAAAACTTGATTTTTTCATATAAAAATTTTTTAAACAACATTTTATATAAAAATTTTTTAACTGAGATTTTGCTTCACAAATGCATTATACATATATCGTATTATATTGATGCTTGTTTCAATGCAACAAAAGAATTATGTCATTTCCATTTCTGTTCTTGCAGAAGTAGAAAACGGCAGTGTAACAAACGAATCGATTCAATCCAATGCGGTAAATATTTTTATTTTTATATGCTTTTAACGTATATCTTAAAAAAAACAAAAAGATAGATAATTTTGTAAGATAATTTTCAATAATTTTCATAGGAACCAACGACAAATGGAGTTGGGGATTCACCGACGAAAAAATCGCCCTCTAAGACGAAGGAAGCCGATAAAAGATCGACAGCTGGATCACCTGTAAAATCGCCAAGTAAGTCCGTCAAATCGTTGCCAAGAACTCCAGATACTCCTTCGTCGACAACTGCTTTGGAGAAGAAAAGTAAGTAAAATCGAAACTTTCCTTGGAATTTTTTTTCAAATTTTTGTTTCATATGATTAGCTTTGTATTAAATATATTTTTATTTTAGATTTTACATGTGGAATTTAATCTGTTTATGTTTGAAAGAATTTTTGAAAAATTTGAGAGAATTAAAGTTAATAAAAGAGAATTAAAGTTAATAATCATATTTAATAAATTGTAATATTTACAAAAATATTAAAAATAATAGAAAATTGATTTTTCTCGAATTTTCAAATTTTTTAAAATTCTAAATAGGCTAAAAAATTTATAAAAAATTATTGAACAAATTATATATAATTTAGTTGTAGTACTGAATTTCTTTCATGTGATAGAAAATGTTAAGATGAAATTCAAATTTACAAAATTTATTAAATTTAAATTGCAAATAATATATTCTACATTATTATTTTGTCTTTACTTTAATATAATATTATTTTTTTCATAATAAGAATTTTTAGAAATTACACACGTACCTAATATTATTCAAAAAATTCTCATATTTCAAAAGATTTCACATTAATTTTTTGGGTTTCATATCAAAATTATTATATTATATATAATTATTGAATTCAAAAATAAAATTTTTTTTAAATATAAAATTTGTAATTTTTATTCTGTAAATTCTTAACATATATTAATTTTTGTTTAAAATAAATATCAAACAAATTAAAAATTTTGTTTCAGTTGTAAATTTCATTTCATTAGCATTTAAATGAAACTTATTTATGCAATTCTTATTCAAATATCAGGTAAGTGGAAAAGTATAATAACAAATAATGTTTAATAAAATAATTACATTTCCAATTAATAATCCAATTAATAATAATTAATTACAATTACTTAAATAGTTATTTAAATAAGTTTTTTTATTGTCATTTATTTCAGAGATGATATATTTTTATATACATACTTAAAATATCAAACTTATTATTATTAATTTAATACTTGACAAAGTACAGAAATTATCATAAATATATTTAAATATTTTAAAGTAAAAATAAATATTTACAGAATTATATAAATTATATATAATTATATATTTTTCTACATAAATATTATTTAATTTTTTTATTATATATATTATATATATTCAAGAATATTCAAAACAGATAAATTTAAATGTAAATCAAAATAATTATCTCATAATTATAAACAAATTATTATTTCTATGATATTGTCTATCATTCAAAAAATATTTAATACATTACCTATCCATAAGATTTTTATAAAAATCTATCCATTACTTTTATCACATTTATTAACTTGTTGCAGTTATAATTTTTTCTTAATTTTTATACAGAACTGCCTATGAACAAAATTCAAGTTGGATCGGCGCCTTCTCCAAATCTGAAAACAGTACGATCGAAAATCGGCTCGTTAGAAAACGCAAGTTACAAACCAGGTGGTGGAAAAGTGAAAATAGAGAATAGAAAGCTCGACTTCAGTAAAGCGCAACCGAAAATCGCCGCAAAAAATGAGAAATATACACCCAGTGGTGGCGATAAAAAGGTTAATTTTTTTAATCTTTTCAATTCGTTTATTAACTTTCTCATCATCTTTTTTAAATACTTTTTTAATGCAAGCAATAAAAATTAATTTCACTACTTTTTTAATATTTAATAAAATATCATAATTGATTTATTATTTAGAAAAATATTAGATGATTAAAAATTACCAAAGATAATTGGCTTTTCAATTTTAATAATATAGACTTTTTTTAAAAAACTTCATCATTAACATTTGATATTTCAATGAAGAAATCTCGAAAATTTTTTTTTAAATTTATTTTATAGAAATAAATAAAAATATGAAAAATTTTTTCAGTTCATTTAATGTTCAAAATTTAATATTCAGAGTTATATTAGGTTATGTTAGAGTTATATTAGGTTATGATTTGATTTAGATTATGTTAAATCTACTTAAATTTTTATAAATTATATATATATAAATATAATAATATATAAATATTATAATATTTAAAATTATATATATAATTTTTATAAATTATCTTTTTATAAACTTATTCTAGGAGAGAAATATGAATATTCAATGATTAAATTAAGCATTTAAAATCACTTAAATCAAAAAGTATTTTTTTTTTTTTATAAAATTAATTTAATATTCAAGCTCTTCTGATTAATTTTTTTTTTTAATGATTTTAAATGATTTTAAAAAAAGTTTCAAGAAAAAATTGGAACAATATTATCAATATTTGAAGAAATTATCAAACTAAACAATTATTAAATATTATAAACAATATAATATTAAAAAATAAATATAATATGTGTAACATAATTAAATTTTTTAGTAAGATTATTTTATAGTACAATATATATAATGAATAATAAATACTTTACTTTTCTTAAATTTAATTAAATTTAACTGATTTATAATTCTTAAAATAAAAATTTTATTCATTGATTCGAATACAATAAAATACGATAAAATAATTTAATAAATAAATAACATTATATGAAAATTATCTTTTGAAAATTACTTACAGATCGCCCAAATTAAACTTCAATGGAATGCAAAACCAAAAGTCGGATCATTGGAAAATGCAACGTACAAACCTGGTGGTGGCGACAAAAAAATAGAAACAGTGAAACTTGATTTCAAGGATAAAGCAAAACCGAAAGTAGGCTCAAAGGAAAATGCCAAACACATTCCTGGCGGTGGTAGCATTAAAGTAAGAATTATGTCTTTATAATAGAGATAAGAAATATATTTTTTTAATTGGGAATGCTGAATACTTTTAGAAATATAGAAAAATTCAGTGAATCTTTCCATCTGCGTTTGAAAAATAATTCGATTAATGTTTTTTTATCTTATTAGCTATTTATTTAATTTATAATAACGAAAATTATCTTATTCTAAATTATTTTAAGAATTTATTTCTAGTCATTATATATTTTAATTGAAAAATATAAATTTAGAGTACTTAAGATAAGCACTGAAAATATCTTTTTTTAAAAATTCAAAATAATAAAACCAATTAAATCAAATTAAATTGATAAGATTTCAAATTTTTTGTTTTTGCAATTAAAAAAAAATATCTATGTATTTTTCACAGAATTGAATAATATGAATAATATTGAATATATTAGTTTTTATTCAGATAGAGACAAGTATATGTATTCAATTATTTTCATAACAATACCTTAACTTTTGAGTATAATACACAATGTATAATACACATATTTAAATTCATTATAATTAGTAATTCTAATATTACTTGAACAAATAAGAAAACTCAAAATTGAAAATTAAGACTACAATTAAAAATAATTCTTTTCATAAATATCATAAGTATCCTCCATATTACATAATAATATTACATAATAATTAATAATTTTTATTAATTAATTTTCATAAATTCGTTGAAAAAAATAATTGTTTTAATCATGTGTTTATTTGTTTTTCATCTTCATAATTAAACATTAACAGAAGCTACAATGAAAACGAATGTATTAGTAAATTTAAATGTGCTTTTTCAAATTTTCGAACCATTATTATCATATGGTTCATATTTTTATCATTATATTGTCGCTTGACGTTATCCATTTGTAGTGTTTGTCATTATTGTAGTAATGAATCATTTTTCTAATTAAATGCTTGCTTTCCATTCCAACATTTTTATCTATTTATAATAAAATTAGTAACATAGCGCTTATTTCGTATATGCTAGGAGGATAACAGTTCAACCAAATGAAAAATTATTTATTTCTATTTTTATTGAATCATTGCATGTAGAATGTAGATAATGTAGATTTCTATTTAAATTATTTTATTATTTAATTTTATTAAGAATAAGAATTCTGGTATCAAGAAAAAAGAATATTTATATATATATATATATGTATGTATGTATGTATATAAATTGTAAGAGTAATCAATTAATCAAATATTAAAAATTAATTGCAGAAAGAAAAAAGTCTCATTAAACAAAAATTTATTTCAAAGAAAAAACTTTACTATAAAAACTATCACAGAATTTCATTTATAAAGAGTTTATAATAAAAAATTTTATTTACAAAAAGTTTTACTTTTAAAGGAAAATTTAGCATAAAAAGAATCACAGAATTTAGTTTACAATAAATAAATAAATAAAATTTTTAATAATTTAATAATAATAATTAATGTCACTAAATAAAAATTATTATTGAAAGAAAATTTAATTTTTTTTAAAGAAACTTTACTAAAGAATCAGAAAATTGATTTTATCCATAGAATTTTTTACTTATATGATTTTTATCAAACAAAATCATTACTATTAAAAAAAAATTCAATTTCTTCAAAAAAAAAAATTCTACAATAGAAAGACAATGAAATAAAAATTAAATTTATTAATTAATTTATCTAAAATAATTATTATCAAATCTCACATTGATTCGTTTATCTTGATGCTAAGAAATCTTGAATATAATAATAAAATATTTCTTATAAATATGGATTTTTTGGATTCGTTGACCAGCAAAAAAATACACCACCCTCCGCCTCTAGCATACGATTGCCCTTCGTTGTCGCATGTATTTTCACCCATCATTATTAACAAGTCATTATTGTTTGTTGGTATTCAGTCATCGGCAACACCACCTAAGACGCCACAGGATACGAACAACGACGTGAGTATATCTCTAATAATTTCACCACATCACATCTTAGTTGTCATTATCCTATTTTCATTTAATTAGCCATCGACACATTGCATCGACATTAAAGTGAAACCTACTCAATCTGGAAAATTATAAAGGGAGTAATCAATCGATTTTAAACAAATAACGTCGTGTTCATTTCTGATTATCTAATATTTGTCGCTTTTACATATTACTGAAAATATAAAGCAAGTTTGCCATACTTGAACGTTAGGGTGGAACGAAATTTAAAGATAAAATTCTTTTTTGCTTTTTATGATTTTTAATATTGAATAAAAATTTATATAGTAAATGTTTTAATGTTAAAATTTGAATTTGAAAAATAAATTTTTCATATAGAGATATCGTCAAAACACTTTTATATATTTTTTATAGTAATTTACAATAACTTCTGTTTTTTTCAATAAATGTTTTTTATTACATAAAAATAATTTTGAATAGAGAAATTCGAATTAGATTTGGAATAAATTAAATAAAATTATCATTTTACAAATATTCTCAATTTTCTCATTTATATTAGAAACATCACATTACATATTCATTTTAAAATAATAAATAAATTTACAATTTAAAACTAAAGAAAAAATATTATAATCAATGTATTATAATAACAATAAAAATAATAAAATCAAAAAAATATATTTAAAAAAAAACTAAAAATTAAAATTTGAAATTCCTTGTCATCTCAAAAATTAATTTTATAAAAATTATCTTTTACACATTAAATATACAAAATATACATTAGAGAAATTTTTTCTTATCAAGAAATAATCATACATTATTTATTTTTTCATTCCACCCTATTAAACATATTCTTTCTTTTAGCAGTAAGTAAATTCAGTTTGAAGAGAGATTAAAGCATGTTTTTGCATGTTTTAAGATTAGTATAAATGTTCGTTGCAAAAGTCAAATCAAATAGTTTAGAAAGCACGTTGCGAAAAACTTTGAAATTTGAACCTAAATTTTTATCTATGGATAAAAAAATCCGTATAAATTTTTAAAAAAATCAATATTTGTTTTTCAATCTAAATTTTTTAGAAATTAATATTTATATGAATATTTCGACAAATTTTTCAACAAAAAAAAAATAACATTTTAATTTATAAATTTTCTAAAAATAAATATTTCACTGTGTGAAATAAATTCTCTGGGAATTAATATCTCCATAATTTTTAAAAAAAAAATAATATTTCTACAAATATCTTATACGTGCATTTAACTAATCACTAATTCAACAGCTTATCGACAAATTATTATCATCACCTAATCACGATTATCATCATCTATTCACGATTTCTCAGCAAAAATAAAATAATAATAAATGTTCCAATGTTCTTTCAGATTCAGACACAAAAAATTGACATCAAAGCTGAGAGTAAAGTTGGCTCCTTAGACAACGTGAAGCATAAGCCAGGAGGTGGCGATAAGAAAATCTTCAACGATAAAGAATACCTTCGACAAACTGGTACCAATCCTGAAAGTCTTTGTGGCAGTGGATCACAGGTACGTTTCAATTTTTTTAAATCTCGAGAATCGCACAAATATTTAATTATTATTCATGTTTTTAAATAAAATAGTTTTTTTTTATTTTTTATCAAAATAATTAATGTTGTCAAAAAGATTCTATTAAATTTTCGAAAAATTGTCTCGATATAATATTTATTTCGGAATTTCGAATTTTTCTTTCTCGAGATTCTTCGTCGTATCACGTTTGTTTGCACCATTTATCACGAAAAAAAAGGCTTGACACGCGTCGCATGCTTCTCTGTAATTTTTTTATTCAACTTTTGTAATTTTACACTTTATGACAAGAATTATTACCGAAATAATATTCTAGCCTTTGCTTCGAATTTCAATATTTTTATAACGGTGAATGATTAAATTTCAATTATTTTTATATATTTTTGTTTTATAAAATGATTTCATAATACAATAATGTGAAGTATATTTTTTTTTATATCTTTTAATTTAATTATTATATCTTTTAATTTAAAATTAAAGATAAAAATCAATTCCAAAAAAAAATTATTTTTAGATTAGTAGAATTATTTTTTAAAAGATAAATTATTTTTTGTAATAATAAGATATGGATAATCAAATATTTTTAATATATAAAAATTAGAATAAATAATTATAATGGTTATCTAACCCTTTGAAGCATATTTTTGATTGGTTCTATATTACTTTTACTTCTTTTTGTAAGAAGTATACATTTTATGTTGTCAATATTGTTTAAAGGAACGAGTAAAGAATAATTCAAAAGTAACAGCATTGTTTTATTTATTATATATTTAAATATAAAATTATGTCAATTTTAAATTTGTTTTGTTTGAAAACAAATAAAAATAAAAATCTAGTAAATATATCATTAAATAAATATAAATAGATCTGTTATTAAAAATATAATTAATTAGTCAACTTATCACATAGCTTTTACTAGAACACCTCTTTTTAATTATTTAAATATATGTTTTAAAAATTAAATTTTTTATAATTTTTCATCAAATAAATTAATAATCAGCTTGCATGCAATTTATAAAATTTATTTGCAAAACTTTTAAAAATTTACTAATAATATCATATTCTTTAATATTAATTTTTATAAAAATGTATATTTGCAAAAAATCTTCAATTTAATGATTGATTATTATTTTTCTTAATCCAGATAGTATTTTCCAAACTTTTTAAGAATTTTTTAAATATTTTATCTTATTAAGTTTTAAAAAAGAATTTTCCTATAGTAAACTTTTCAAATTATATATTAATATCTAATGTATTATGTATTATGTATTATGTATTAATATGTATAAAGATTCAAAATTGTTTACTTCTTTTTATCATATTTTATATTTTATTTTTATAATAAAATTTTTTTATGAAAATACTAAAATATTACGAAACATAACATGTTTAAATTTAATTAAATGTTATATCAAATATGTATATAAAATATAACATATATAAAATAGATTTCGTGATGTACAAATACTTATGATTATTGTACTTATTAAGAAATAAAAATTATTGAAAAATTATTATTGAAAAAAAAAAAAAGAAAAGAAAAAAATATCAGAGTAATTAGAGATCATGAAAATATATCAAAAGTATTATACATATTATTTCAAAAACATGTTGAAATCGAAATTCATATTTTCATTTGAATATTTTACATAAAACATCTTTAAAATATTAATAAAATCGAAACATCGAAATCCTTCGAAACTTTAGAAGAATGGTTAAATTTCAAAACCTTTTATTATTTTTGTATTCGAAATTCTTGAACTTAAGTAAATAATAATTGATATAGATAATTGAATTTATTAAACTTTAATTGATATAATTTCATTTAGAAACAACTTTCAATTTTGTAATTAATTAGTTAAACAGATAGTTATAAATAATAATTTTTTTTATAATCCTTGTAATAAACGTATAACAAAAATTATAAAATTACTATAAAAATGATCATTATTTTATAAATTATTTGTTTATTAAGAATTAAGTTTAAAGATTTTCAGAAGTGAAAATTTGTCGAAATATTAATTCTTGAGAAAATTTCCTTACTTAAAATATTCCTTAATTTTTAAATTTCCTTCCTTAAAATAAAAAGAAAGAAAAAAATACTCGACATTTCATAAAGTGTTTTGAATTCGAATTTCAATCCATCTCGCTTTAAAATAATCGAATTATCTTTAAATACACTGGGTCAGAAAAACGATTACTCGACACCCTTAATACAATATTGACCCACTTCAATACGCAGAATCTATAAATAACCCTCAAGTCATCATGGAGCGAAGCATATTACGTTCGCAGAAATATCAAAAAATAGAACTCAAATAAAATGCTTCAAAGGTTTAACATGACCCGAATTAAGAATGAGTTAATGATCTAGCAAGATTCCAAACATGAAGGTTAATGGGGCCACCTTAATCCTCTGTGTGTTGTGCCCGCAGAGCCCTGTGCCCCCTGGCACGGTCGCCGCCGGCAAGAACGGTCTACCCACATCGGACGAGAACCTGAATCAGGAATGCTAGATTACGAAAACACAACCGCTAGACCCGTTTTCCTTGTCATTTGCGTCTGATTATAATCATCCGTAATCTCTTTTCCTTCCCCAATCGTCGAATCGAAGGCCCGTATATTTATCCCGTAATGGATTCCAACACATTCGGCGTATAATTACATGTATATCGAGAAGCAAGCGTTCGAATTCAATTTTTCAAAGCGTCGCAGGCTTTTCTATCGTATTCGTCGATCTATCGATACATAGATCTCGAGCTGCTCGATTTGTGACTGTCACGATCGTTTGTCAGCGATCACTTAGAGGTTTTTTTTTTTACGTGCCATACACAAGGGAACACACGTTTAATCGATGAGTGCGAATGGCGTAAAGAAGTAGAAGCATTTATTCTATTCCTCTTTTGCCATGTGTTCTTACTCGATCGATACGAGATGAGTGTGTGTGTGTATACCTGTCCAGCGTGTAACACAACGATCAGAGTGATTCTTTTTTCTCCATTCTATTGACGCATTTATCCGGAGACACACACATACAGTGACATCTTTTTCAGATTGAAAAAATGTGTTTTAAAAAAAAAGACTTTTCATACGATAATATATAATCGTAATATATAATTCATAGCGTGATTATTATATCGGAACAATTTATCACACCTGATTCTATGAATTTTTATAAATGATGAAGTAATGCGTTATAATAGTGTTTCTCAATCTTTTGTCACGTAAATCACATATATTATTTGTTTGTGTGAATCAAATTTAAAATATAGAGAATAGAATCTCGTTTATACGAACGAGAACTCATAGAACTCAACTTCTATTATCTGAACTGCTTTATTCAAGTAAAGTGAGGTTAAATGTATAATCTTCTTAAATTTCTTGATTCAAAAAATAAATTTTTAAGTTTGTCATTTTTATAAAATAATTAATACTTAACTATTTGTATAATATACTTTTCCTTTCATATTTTAATAAATCATACATTATAAGTGTCTAAGTCAGTCTTGTAAATGATCTAAATGATAAAAGCGAATTATATTTTAAATTAACAAAAATAATGTTTATTTAAAATCTTCAAGCTTATAAATATTTTTAAATGATAAAGGCATTGAAAAATCGTGTTTGTTTTATTTGAAATCTTTAAATGTTATGCCAAATTGAAAATAAGAAAAAACAGTTATTACATTAATCTAATCTCTATTATCTACTAATAACTAATAAAAAAAAGATGATAAAAATGCTAGATCTTTATTAAACAATAAATTAACGAAAAATTCTACTCTAAATTTTTTAAAAACCGAATTACTATTTATATATTATATAAATAAATAAAATTATGTATATTTGAGTAGTCTATTAAAAATATAATGTAATCTATAGATTGAGAAACATTGCATTATAGATTTTATCAGAAAACTTAAATTAGAATGATAAGGGAATATTCGATGAAAAAATACATTAAACTTCCTCTTAACGATTTGCAAAGATTGATTTACGATAAGAAATACTGTATAATTGTTTGCAATATCTTATATATGATATACATATTATACTGCAATAAAAGCCACTTCGAAAGACTCAAACATTTCTAAGAACATTTTTCCGATCTGAAAAGGAAATGGCGGTAACGTGATACGCTTAAGTTATTGAAACATGAATTCTCATTTTTCGTGATCACCTAGAACATCTAGGCAACTAGCATGGCAATTAAACGAGATATAAAAAAAGTCGCATAATATCTGAAATCATCGTTTCGAATTATTAATTATTGTAATTATCAACCGAGAGTAGGTGTATTTTTGTTAAACCTATGAGAATAATGCTAATTTTCAAGGCTATAGTGTAAATAACTAACTGTTATATTAAACGAAGCTTTGAATGTGCTATGGTAACGTTGATAAAAATATAACGTTGATCGATTAATAACTTTAAATTTAATAATAATATTAACTAATAAATTGATAGAGCTAATTATGCAATCACAATGAATTCAATTTTAGCTTTTTTAATGTGCGTAATAACAGACACATCGATTATTATGAATAAATAAGTAATTAATCGAACAGAATGATAAATTTTGGTAGAAAAAAAAATTAGAAGAAAAAAAAATTAAAAAATTGCAAGCGTTGATAAATTGCTAAAATTAATCGATATAGAATGAATTCTTTCTTTTCTGATCATTTAAAACTCAAATTAAGCGTACAAAGTAAAAATTTCATTATGATTTATAAAAATAAATCTCGATTAATACCAAACATAAAATCAGCGATAATAATAATAAAAAACTAAAAAAAATAATAATAATAAAGGAATTTATAGATGAAAACAAAACATTGTAATTATATTGTCGTATAGAAAATACATTTAAAATTCAAACGCTATGGACATAATCGTATTTCATATTAAAGGTTTACTTAAATTCGCCTACTCCCGGAAAATAAAAATATTAATATACTTTATACATAATATGAAATAATTAAAGTGAATGAAAGAAAAAATATGTGATGCACAGATTATTTATTTGTAAACGTTATACATAGTTTCATTATTATCTAATTATTTTTTCGATATATTTTAATTAAAAATATTGGTTTATTTTTAAAAAGTGATAAATTAATAAAAATTATACGTTATCATAAGATTACATATAAAAAGAGATTAAATACAAAAGGAAAAACAAAGTTGAAAAAATCACATTGTGCATCATTTATTAAAAAATATGTACGGAGTATATTATACCATTAAGTTTAGAAGATATATTAAAGTATTATATTAATTAATAGAATATCTGTATATTGAGTTTCCAATATATTTCTTTTTTGTATTTTACAATGCATTTTTATCGTAAAAACAAAACGTACTCCGTACATTATATGTGCATATAGAGTGTATATAAAGTGTATTACAAGCTTTTTCTTTTGAGATTATTAAAAATAGCAAGAAAAAAATTGTTTCTAATTGTTATTTGAGATTATTTAATACTTATTATTGATCAAAGGAACTTACATTAATAGAATAGTGTATAATTTTTATATTTTCAAATAGATTTTATTTAATGTGATATTTAATTGAAATATTATTCTATATTTCATTTGTAATTTATTTCATTCTTTCATGATTAATAAATCTTTTTTTAATAATTTATAATATTTTTTATATTTTTTAATAATTTATAAAATACTTTAATAAATTATTAAATGAATGAATTCTTGTTGCATTTAATGATTTGAAAGAAATTGTCTTGTAATAGTTTTTATGATACACTCTAATATAAAAGTATAAAGTGTTTGAATAGTTTCTAATATTTTTCATTATTCATCGCTTGAACTAAATGAATTTGTTTTAACTCTTGAAATATCAAAAAAAAAAATTTATTATATTATGCTTTTCATTATTGACAAAATTTTTGATAAATTAATAAATTAAATATTTTTTTTCTATTATAAACTTTCTAATACGAGAAGTATTATTTTTCTTGTCTAATAAGATTATATATTTTTTATTTTAAGTAAATAAATAAATATTTAATACATTAAATATTATTAGAATATATTTATTATTATTATTTATAACTAATTATATTCAGCATATTATAAAAAATACATTAGAATTCACTTCATTTACTTTCATCTTGATGTTCAAGAGTTAAGTCAAGTACAATTTCGTCTTTTACCGAATAAAAGTTTTATTTAGTGGATGTTAATCTACTAAAAAAAAAAGTTCTAAGACATTCAAATCACATGTATATAAATCGTATGCTCGATTTTGACATAAAGAAAAAATTCCGCAAGAAGCAAAAACTTGATTCATGCTTGAAAATTTATTTTAATTTTTTTCGCTTTAAAGAAATTTAAATGATGCATATTAAAAATAAAGTTTAGTCCTTTGCACTCAAAATATGTTTGTTACAAGAATGATGAAAGTTTTTGAAACTAATATAGAATTTAAATCTATATTATGAAATATCATCGTTTCATTTTATTGAAATTTCGATACAAATTTTATAAAGTTTTTTCATAAAGATGAGACAATTGTTGCAATTCTATAAGCAATAAATATCAAAATATCGATAGTTTACTATACAAATATTGCACATATACTTTTTATAAAATTTTATATACATCGAAATCACATTTATATATATTATAAATTTATTAAAATTATATTTTACTTTATACATATCCCTATATAGTATTGAATCTTTTAACTTGTTTTTTTAATATGTGAATATATAGCTTTTATGCAATAATTTATCAAATACTTTAGAACACGGATAATTATAGATATCATCTAAAATTTTTGAAAATTGCAAACATAATAATTGCAATTTTGGAGGAAAAAATAGTTATCTTGTCTAAAATCTTAAATAATAAAAAAAATATATACTTACAATATTTATTAAGTTTATCTCTAAATCTTTGAATTCCTATACAAGTGATTATCTATTGAGTGCAAAGGATTCAAAGTATGTATTTTTAACAAATGTTTACAATATCGAGCGTCGATTTATTCGAAAAAGCGCGGGAAATAGCGAAGTTCCGATGGAACTTATCGCGCTAGGGGAATCCCATTAAAACGAACTCAAGAGAAATAAACAATAGTAGTATATTACGCGCAACCATTATTCAATGCATCAAGTGAATATAATTAATTCACACGATTGCATCGAATAAGTTTCATATTGTATTTAAACGATAGGATACGATCAATTCGTTATTGTAGATATATAAACTATCTCTACTTGTTGTATACGTCAGAATAAATACTTAGATCTTACAACTGTCAGTTTACAGTCAGTTGAAAAATAAAAATCGATAAAAGAGGTAAAATGTCGATGGGAAATATCGAAATATAGGATAAATGATTTCAGAGAGATCTGTTCTCTCTTTCTCTTCTTCTCTATCAATTGTGTCACTCTTGAAGAATTCATGCAATCTATACTAAGAAAGTATATAAGAAGTATTATAGTTTATTGCTTCCATACTGATTATATTATATACATATTTCGATTTGATTAATTATCCAATAATTCACAAAAAGATTAGGTACACAATATTAAATTGCGAATACATATTAATGTATAACGAATATTCGGTATACTGTCAGACATAACAAGAGAGCCATTAAGTATAATAATATTTTTGTTTTTAAATTTACATTCTGGGCATTTTTATTTAATCCCACCGTTTTTAATAGCATTATTCTAAATTATACAATAAAATTTTTAATTATATAAAATCAAATAATTTTTCTACTTTATGAAATTATTAAATTATATCATTTGTAAATATTATAATATATCTTAATGATTTTCAATTTTCGGATTAAAAGAAGATTGCAAAATACTTTTCAAAAAATCATTATTATATTTTATGTTAATTTTTTAAATTTTCCTTATTTTATATATAAGAAAGAAAAAAAAGAAGAATAAACTCTTTGAATATTATAAAAGGCGGTCATCAAAAAAGATTGGGAAACATCTATATTCTAAATAAATATGTTAACATAAAGAATAAAAATTAATTTTTAACGTTAATATGAAAAAAACGAAAATAAAGAAAAGGGATATTTGTAAAATTAAATTTAAAAATTTATTTATTATTTCTATTTTAAAATATTTATTGTTTATATGTACATATTACAAATATAAATTCTTTATAAAAAAAAAAGATAAAAAATATTGTTAATAATAAGTTCGTTATATCGATTTCATATAAATTTTTCCCAATATAAATTCACAAAAAAATATAAAAATATAAATTTTTATATTATCATAATTTTTTTAATTATTATATGAATATTTTCTTCAAAATATCATATTTTAATTGACATTTTAGTGCACAATTTTATCATCACAATTTCTTTTTTCTTTTTAATTAACTAGTAATTTATAGCACATATAGTGTAATTTAAAAGCACACAATTTTAATGGCAAATATAATTACAAATGCTAATGCTAATAATATAGAAACGATTTTCTTTAACTTTCGTATTTCGAGTATTTAAATATTTAGTATATTTCTTCAATGAATTTTCTTATATGGATTAATAAGCACAACATGTACTTTACTTTTACACGTAATTGGTGGACACATCAGTATCGCTGCTAATCACCGCATTTGTAAATTAAGGTCAGTTTGCACATGAATTAACACTTCAACTGATGATTTATATGAAATTTAAGTATACAATTATAATATTATGTTTTCAAAATATTTTATTTATTAAAAATTAATTATTTTGTAATAAGATAATTTTCAAATATATGTAACATATATTTAATTATTATATATTTAATTTTAAAAAAAATTATGTAAAAATTATAAATTTATTTTATTTCTTCTGAATTTGATATTAAAAATTATAATAAACATAGCAAATAAAATAATTGATAAATGTAAAATTAAATTCACCATATATTTTTTGAATAAAAAGAATACTTGTAATCTATATTAATCTATATTTTTCAGGAAAATACAATTGAAGAGATTAATTCTTCTCTTGAACAGGCAAAAGATGATTTACCACAACCACCACCAAGTACACCAACAAAAATACAAAATCTACCATCACCGTCTTCTATGGTAACTCCTAAAGCCGTCAGAAGTAGTTTGGCTAAATCTCCTGAAATAGGATCAAAAAAAAATTCATTGTCTCTTGAAATTAAAGAGAAGGAAGATGGAAACAAGAAAAATCTAAGTTCAGAAGATAGAAATATAATGAAAAACAAAACAGCAAAATCTCCTATAATTTCACATTTTCTTAGTAATTCTCAAGCAAAGAGTCCAGAAAATAGAACAACCAAATCACTTACTTCTTCACATATTCTTAATATTTTTGAATTAAAAAAAAGTCCAGAAGATAGTTCAACAAAAATACCTACTTCTTCACGTCCTTCTAGTAATTCTCAAATGAAAAATCCAGAAGAAAAAAAATCATCTACTTCCTCATGTCCTTCTAATAATTCTCCATTAAAAACTCCAGAAGATAAAATAATCAAATCACCTATTTCTCCACGTTCCGTTAATAATCTTGGAATAAAAAATCCAGATAAATCTTCCTCTCACATGTCTGGAAAAATATCGCCAAAAGAGTTACAGCTTCCAAAATTGGCACCCTCTCCTACGCCACAAGAAATTACTACAATTTCTGAAGTTAATGCAAAAATTAATTTACCAAAATTGATAGAACGTATTACGCATTAAATTATTTTTCGTATATTTTAAAATAAACTTATTAATTATTAAGAAAAGAAATTTTCTTAAACTGTAAATGGATATTTGCAACATATATATATATATATGTAGTGTGTATATATATATATATATATACACTAAATCTAGAAAAGCATTAAATATGAGTGAAATATTGAGCTATATATGTATATGCTTTCTTAAATTGCTTAAATTACTGATTTTATATTACATTGATAAATATAAAACTCTTTTAAGTAATTATAAAATAAATTTCGAAAGACAAATCGAAAAATAATGAAAGAGAAGATTTGAGATTTATATTTACAAATCTGTTACTTTTTAAAAAATTTGATTTTCATCT